CTTTTCATTTATTCACTAAGATATAAAATTTTCCACAAACATTATAAATGTTTTCAAAAATTATTTCCATAACCACGACCTAAGATTATAAAACACATTTTTAGTAATTGTAAACAATTATTAATTTAGAAGATAATAATTTTGATAAATAAAAATAAATTAAATTTCATTGCATGCGATATCGGTGTAAATAATCTAGAATTCTTAGAAACATCGTATTCTTTGGTTCGTTTATTCAGAATAGACAATCTATGTAACTAAAGCGTCAAGCCTTGCGGCAAAAGCTACCAAGCATATGAATATCAGGTGGAGATAGTGCGTGTCTATACTGGCTTACGTTAGAAATTTGAAAATTTTTTCTGACTTTGGTTGCAAAAATCACTTTCGGGGTCAATAATAGCTTATCCTTTCATAACAAGCGTCGAAACGAAAACAACTTGAAAAGTGTAGCTTTTGCTTTCTATTTCCTCTTCCATCTGTTTTCTTCGGTTGACTTTCTCTTTCTTTGCTTTCATCCCTGGCGTGGTCTTCTTGGTCTCTTTGTGCTGTTGATGGTACTTTCTGACATGTTCATAACGGTTTAAAGGTAATTCAGCGAAACTTTCCACGCTCGCCAAGAGATAATGAGCAAGAAATACAGTAACACAGATTTTTCGCGAGGAGGCGCTGCGTGCTGCAAAGTTAAAAACTTTGTGATGAGTATACAAACTCTCCTAGAAAGACAAGAATTTTGGAGATGCGGAAACAAAGGTATAAAAATTTGCACTTGAACATTACTAAACATTAGCGTAATTATTGTAGAAATAGGAATTCCACGTGGGCATTTGAGGTGATTTTCATTAATGTTTCGAACCGGTAGGGCCTACAGTATCATATCGTTCTCTTTCTTTTCACACTGCAGGTTAATTTTCTTAGTTTTCAAAGTCACAAGATATTCGAAAAACAACAACGTCTACGATTAGTAGATTCAAAGTTTAATCATTACTCTCTCCTCTACCTGTAGTTCTTTCATTTTATCATTGCGTGCTAGTACGTGTAAAGAACTGAAGGTCATAATAGTGGAGTTCGAGTAAAGTATTTCTTACGCCTCTTACGCTTTCATCTATAATATGTGGAAAGGCAGAGACCTTGTTGATTTTTCTCTATTTTCATAAATAGAATTTGGCCTGAAGCCAAATGTGCCCTCTTGACCTACTGTCATTTTTTATAACCTATTAGGTTTGAAATATATTTTATGAGCTTCTCCTAAAGGCTTCTTAACTGAGTGGAAAGGAATTGCATTGAATTGAAGAAGCGAAAAATTCGAAAATTTATTTATTCATTCATTATTATCTAATACATTATTTATCATATGAAGTGAGGGATATTATTATTAAATCATTCCCTCTTCTTTCATAAGCTCTTCTTTAATTTCCATGCCGAGATTCTGCAAGTTTTCACTCATTAAATCCAGAAACGTATTAATTTCAAGTATTTTGGCTCGATTTCTTTTCAATTCATCGCTAGAGAAAGTGCATAAAACATTATATAGAGAGGAGAGTTGAAAATTTGCTACTTTAGTCAATGTATAATGCAAAGATCAATAAGTCGCGGGAGCGGTACAAAAACAAAAAAAATATTTTTAGTAGTAATTTTCGAAGCCACGCTGCATTTCTTATTTTCAAAATGTTATTTATTAAATATTAGTACCGTTTAAACTAAGCGTTGGCCGTGCGAAGAATAAGTTGATTGCGAAGGCTAAAGGATGCTTTCGCTTTACTACTAGGTTAACCAACTACTAGGTTTTATATCAACCTTAGAGTCGATATTTGCAAAAATATTTTTTTTTGTTTGCTTAGTCTCGAGAATTGTTGATCAATACATTATTAAATGCTTAGAGCTTTACATACTCGTTGAGTTTATCGATCATGTTATCAACAAATTCTTTGCTACGATTCATTAAACGATCTTCACGTTCATCAATGCGCTGCGTCTGAATATCTTTCATGCCGGCGATTAAGTTACCGATGGCTTCACGGTCTTCCATGCATATTCTAAGCGGTGGTGGAACATCTTCGAAATCTTGCAGAGCTAATTTGGTGCCAATGTAACGTGAAACTATTTCGTACAAATTCTCCGAAAAATGTATGGCTAGATCACGAAGTTGGCCAAAAAATGTTTGGGCCTGTTCAATAAATTTGCCAATCATTTCTTGCATTCTACGTTGAAAATGAATTGTGGTCTCCTAAAATGCGAACAGAAGCCATTAAATATGATAATAACTTAAGCATTAAAAAATTTATTACTTCGGTTGTCTCATGCAAGTGCAACTCTTGGCTCATTAATTGCTGCCAGACATTATTAACCATATTATCGAAATCAAAGGTGATTTTGTCTAATTTATCGTTAAACAATTGATTTTCTTCGGTCTCATCTTCCTCGCCACGCAGGGCACGTGTCTCTATCCATTTATGAATAGCGCCAGCTTGCTCGAACGCTTTCTCCTTGTATTGTATGAATTCCTCAAGAATTTGTTGACCCATTTTTTGCACTTCTAAATGCCCCTCCTCTAAATTAGTCATAAACTCGTCTATCTCCATTTGACGTTCTTCGAATTTTTCCAGACCCAATTTGTAGAGTTCTTGAGTGATCGCAAATATGTCTTTACCATATTCATCGGCCAAGTCTTCAGCAGCCACGCCAACCATCATTAGAATGTGGGCATCTTCGTCTCCTTTCCACAACGTTTCGAATAGTTGGTTCTCATTTAAATGTTCTACGAAACTGGAAGATAAGCGTTCCGCATCACGTTCCTTTTTAGCTCTCTGAGCTCGTTCCAATATTTCCATTTCTTCATTTGTTTCAATTTCACGCAACTCTCGTCTTGACATTTTTTTTTTGTTTTCATAAGCTTTATTAATTATTAATTGGCTTTTTGATGAAGAAGTTGCACTTACGCAAAAGTTTCTTTAGCTTTTAAGCGGTCTTCCTCTTTAATGGACATATAATCATAGTATTGGACGTTGGGTAAAACGGCGGCCACATATTCGGATATATTGAAATCAAGTCTTTCGGTTACGGGATTCCCTTCGAGATTGAGAACTTTTAGATGCGGTAAAAAGCGAAAACGTTCGATCTGCAAACGATCTTTAAATTTTAAATATAATTGGCGGCCGATTTAATCGAATACATACCCCGTCTGTACTATATATGCGATTGTTGCCAATACTTAGGATAATCAATTTTTCTTGGCTCTCTAAATTTTCAATTTTTGTTATTAAATTATTGAATAGAGATAAGACTTCCAGGTGGACAAGCTTTTCTAAATTTTGAATTTTCTCTATATAATTAAAACTCAAATCCAACTCTTTTAAATTCGTTAACATTTCAATATTCTCAATTAATTCAATTTTATTGCAGCTCAAAACCAATTTAGTCAAGTTAGGCAGTATCCATAAATGATCAATGCGTAGTATATCTAAACATATGGATATATATAAAAAAACTAGATATGCTTAAGATTTGTAAAGGGAATAGTGTAATGGGGTAGAGAGTCTTACTTTTGAAATCCATACGTATAGAAGTGATGCGATCGTAAACGATGGGCTCAATTTGATGCAAACGAGCCGCTTCACCCTTATAAAAGTCCTCTAGATACGCCTTCTCAATCATATGTTTGCTGATAATGCCCGGCTCAATTTCCGGATAAATGACCTCATCCAAGGACTTTATATTTTGGGCATTATGCTCATCGGCTTTATCGGTGATCATCGCAACTCGTTAACGATCTGAAGTAATATGAAATTTTTGAAAAAGTTTTACTTTTCTGCAAACGCAATGCAACGATAAATCATTGTTTTCAAGGATTGATGGCCATTGCTAAGGAACCAATTGAAATGTTCAGGGTGTCATATATTATATGCAAAAAAACGTTCAATTCGGAACAGGTCTAGTCAATAGTTATAGTTTACATTGCTTGCATAAGAAATGCAAGACGAAGTTGGTCTCATATTTTATTATACCACTACCCGCCTTTTCGTCATCTGTCTGATGAGGTTTTGTGTCCACTTTTTGGAAATATTTTAATGAAATTTCGTATAGCGATATGTTTTCAGAAATGCTTTTCCCCATCGATCGGTGTGTCTTCGACAAGACTTCGTTTTGTTTTACATCAATATTCGTAGTCGCTATAATGCGAATAAATAGTTTTTTTAACACAACAACTCGTGGTACCCTACCTCTATTTTTAAGACTTCTTTCCTTAGTTTAAGCATATTATGTGTTTGGAAAGGTTAGGAGAGGTTCGACATGTTACAGTTAACACACAAAACAGATAAAGAATAAGTAGCTCTTTTCCACAAAGCAATTGAAGCGAGTCTTTACTACTTATTCCTCTTGGGATTATTACGGCAAGGTTTTGGCAAAGTCTTTCATTTTCACTAAACTAAAATTTTTGCTTTTTTTGGAATAATCGCGCCGTCTAAGTTTATCCTCCTATAAATTGCTTTGTTTGATTCAATGCTAAGTCACAATTTCTTTATTAACTTTTCGGTGAGGGTCATGGTAAGCCTACACTAACTTTTCAAAATTTATTTTACTTATTTGTCAGTCTTTTAATGAGGCGCACTATAAAGTAGGGCTTGTCAGTATCTCTTAGAGATTTTTTCTGCTTTTTGTATTCTACACTATTTGTATTTGAGGCAAGATTTATTTTATCCAATGAGACTCACGAGTAGATAGTATTACATGACGGTACGTAATTTGGGGCGTGAACGGTAAAGTACCCTTTTATATGACAAAACGTTTTCATACTCTCTGATCAGTAACGCGAATAAATGAAGAATAAATGCTTTAAAGAGTTTTGCAAAAATTCGAAAGTCCAGCTCATATACGATATTTCATAGTCAGCGTTGTTCGATTACAATGCTTCCAAGTCTACAGGAGTTTCCATTAAATAAAAACAAAAAATTGAAATTGATTTCGGTTAGTTAATAAATATCACAAACCATTTGGAATCTATTGAAAATTCAATTTTCGCAATGCTTTCGAAAGGATATGCTTATCACTTGTCAATTAATGATATGATGTGAAGAATTACTTTGACCGTAATGGCTAACTTTTACGTTGCTATAGCAATGATAACTTGAATTTAATAGACAAAGACAGGCAGGCAGGCAGGCAGGCAAGCAGGCAAGCAGGCAGCCATTTGCAGAGCCTTTCTAGCAAAATATTTTAGCAGAACTTTAAGAAAGTGATTTTGTTTGTTGTCTTCTTGCAAAAATTTGTAATCACCTTTAGTGAACTAAGTGCACGCATATGAATGGATTTTAGTTGTAGAGCGCATGAAAAAGCTAAGAAGTTTTGTTTCGTTTAAGAAGTGCGTTGAATGTGTAAGCCGAGCGTTGAAAGAAACCAATTTTTCATTAAAAACGATTCCGTTTGATATTTCGTTTGATATTCATTAGGTATGAGTACATGCTGAAGCAGTTGTGGTGTCCTGAACAGGTGCGATATTTATATTTGTTTATTTACATCGAATACATATGTGTGCGCGTTTACATTTAAACGTTTCTATAAAGATGGGTGGTAGGTTAGCGGTGTCGTTGTGAGTCAATTACTTTGAAAAGTTTGACGGATTGATTTCCGATTAAAATTTTGGAAATCGTTTCATGCGTATTTTTCGTTTTCTTACTCGTTCTTTTTATTTATTTATTTTTTTTATGCCCCTTTTTTTTTCTTTTGCTTACCTTAATTAGTGTATGTTTATCCTTTTGAAAATATTCGCTTGTTTTCGCTGGCCGTCGTCTTCGGATACTACTTGGCAACGTATATATTGTAGTGTTATTAATGAATTTCGTTGTTGTGGTATCAGCTTTTGTTCTAAGGAGAAAAAAAAAAAATTTGAAATTGTCAAGAAACTCAGAAAAAGAAAATCTATATAAAAAAAAAAAAAAAGAAAAGAAATACAAATAAACAGAACAAACAAATGAAAAGAAATCTATTATTCACTTTAAATAAAAAAGAAAATAATATTTTTATATATAAAATTTCAAAAAAATTCAATGTTAATAAAAGTTGTTAAGTTGAATTCACTTTTGAAAACAAGCAATGAAAATAAACGCAAGTTTATCAATTTACGCATTTGAATAATAATAATTAATCTTAGTTTAATTCAATTTAATCGATAATGCAAATAAGCAAACGAACCTTGAACGAAAGCGAGTAAAATTACAAACATTTACCTACATATTCACATATCCGGTGATTGGTATTAATTCTCTTACTCTTATTGTGACTTAAAATCAGCAAGAAAAAGGTGTAAGTTTTGTTTTTTTTTTTGTTTGTTTGTTTGTTTGTTTGTGCATGTATTTGAAAATGCCGTGAAATGAAATTTTTAAATCAATTTACACACACAAGGGATATATCCCTTCATATCACATACAAAGCCAAAGCTCTCTGTCAGCCATTTTTGTTAAGAGATTCTTTGAAATAATTATTTCTTCTCTCGTTACTTTTTACTTGAATCTAACCAAGTAGTCTTAATATATTATTTGTCGTCTGAATAAATATAAAAAATTTTATGATAATATGTGAGAAACGATTGCCTTCGCATTGATGGGAAGCTTTCCGACTCGTTCTTTTGTGGGTCGCATTGAGATCCAAGATATATACACAGACAACAAATGACTGCGAGTATAAGGAAATTTAAAACCTCATCTTCATTCAAGTTTCTCATTAAAGGCAATTTTCCACTGAACTCAAATATCTTATCTCTATTTTCCTTCAAATCAGATTTTTTGATTCGATGCAAGATCATCATCATTGTCCCGACACTAACTACTCCTTTACTATTCGCATTTGAGCCAAGACTTTTTTTATTTACTCTTCAGACTTCCAATGAAGCTAAGTATTTCTTAATTTTATATTCGAGGCAAAGTCAAACCTCCATGCTGTCTGTATTTAAGATAAGATTTCGTTCATATATTTGTCAGTCTCACAGTGAAACTTGCTATAAGGCAGTAGTTGCCAAAACCTCTTATGGTTTATCAGTGTTTTGTATACTCGACGAGGTTAGTGCGTACGGTATTCGTCAAACTTCCCTGACAGTTCACTATAATGTTACGCTTGTCATGATCTCTCGTTCTGGTTGAATCTTTTACATCCAAAGCAAGATCGCTCACTATATAATCGAACTTCACTATCAAGGTTACCACAGTTTACCACAGGTATCTCGACAGTTTCTCAATCTTACGGTAAAGCTAACATTATCAGGATCTCTCATACTGTCTCGAGACCCGGGCACCGCATATTCGCCAATTTTAAAATGAAGTGCACTGGAAGACTGCACTTATCGGAATCTGTCATAATTTCTTTATATTTTATATTCGCGGTACGTGCGTACTATTTGTGCGCCAAACTTTTCAGATTCTTTTTTCTTGTCCCTTACGGACTTGCAGGAATTCTAAGCTTACCCATCTGCAATTTTATTTCTTTTTTGCGAAAAAACATGGCTTTTGCCTGGGTTCGTGTGGTTTGGTTGTTGCATTTTCAAGCTTATTTCACTATTTTAAATTCAACGCCGTTTATGGTACAAGGGCATATTAAATTTGTGCGAATCTATATACTACCCAGATGGATTTGAGATAGATCCACCTTTTATTATACCGATCGATTTAGAATCAGTTGTCTATTCCTCTGCCCGTCCAAGGTCTTTTGTTCAACTTATAGGTCGTAAATTTTGAGATATTTTGATGAAATTTAAAACATCGACTTGTCTTGGTCCAAAGACGAACACTATAGAAAACCGTTTGAATCGAATGATTTTTTCGACCATTTCCGTATAATGTCTTAAAAGTTACTTATATGTATGACTATATGATGGTGTAGGGTGTTTGATTGTCAGCGGTGGCCACTATAATCTTTTTACTTGTCCTACTTTAATACTATGCTTTACTTTAGATGAAAATCTCCAAAAAACATAAGCATGCTGTGTGAAATGTTGATCGACTAAAGCCGCCTTCAAGTCCATCTTTTCATAGTAAAAATAATTCACTTATTTGGAAGGAGACAGGGAAAGGAATCGATATAATTACTGATTTTTAAATATCTGCTGCTAGTCTACGTTTGCCTTGGGACGATTAACACTAACGCTTCCGCCTTTCCTATCACTTGCAGATATACGTGTATATAAGTATGTACTTATGTGCGTGGGCATGTGGGAGTGGGTGCTAGTGCATGTTTGCGTTAATAAATACATTTATACTTAACAGAATTGGCTTTGATAAAATATGAATCGATATATAACTTTAAGTCAACTTGGCGATGGTACGTACGGTACGGTGGTACTCGGGCAACGAAAAGATACTGGCGAAAAAGTCGCCATTAAACGCATGAAGCGAAAATACTATTCGTGGGAAGAGGCCATGAATCTACGCGAAGTTAAGGTTTGACAATCTCTACAAGCTAGACGATTGTGACGCCAAGTCTCACTTTTAATTCCATTATTTATTTTAGTCCTTGAAGAAACTATCCCATCCGAATATAGTTAAATTGAAAGAGGTGATCAGAGAAAATGATAATTTGTATTTTGTATTCGAATACATGAAAGAGAATCTCTATCAAATGATTAAAGATCGTGACACTCATTTACCAGAGCCAACATTAAAGAGCATCTTATTTCAGGTAGGTAATCCTAAGAAAACGGATAAAAATTCTATTCTATATCAATTAGGAATGAGCGATTAAAGTCTTCATTTGTTATTGTGTTTAGGTTCTTACAGGTCTAGCGTTTATGCATCGCCATGGATTCTTTCATCGAGATTTAAAACCTGAAAATTTATTATGCTCAGGCCCGGAATTGATTAAAATCGCTGATTTTGGTTTGGCCCGCGAGATCCGTTCGAGGCCACCATTCACAGACTACGTGTCAACAAGATGGTAACTTTTAGTGAATTAAATTTAAATGTACTTTGACTATGTTCATCCGTTTAGGTATCGGGCTCCCGAAGTACTATTGCACTCGACGAACTATGGCAGTTCTATCGATTTATGGGCTATTGGTTGCATTATGGCCGAATTGTATACATTTCGTCCTCTATTTCCTGGCAGCAGTGAAGTGGATCAACTATACAAGATATGTTCTGTTTTAGGAACACCGGATAAAGTAAATAGATCATCGCTTTAATTATATATAAATTTATTTTAATTAATTCATTTATTTTAAAAACGAATTTCAGAGTGATTGGTTAGAAGGTTATCGTTTAGCTTCATCCATTCATTTTCATTATCCGGATTGTGTTAAAATGCCTCTTAATACGGTCGTGAATCGTTGCAGTCAAGCCGGTTTAAATTTGTTAGAGGACTTATTGCTATACGATCCCGATAAGAGGCCAACAGCTCAACAGTCTCTAAAATATCCTTATTTTAATTTAATGAAACGTATCTCACCAATGGCAGCTGCGAAAGCAAACGTGAAGTTATCAGCCAAACACGCGGCCAACACAGGACTGACGCAAAGCTATTCAAACACTGTGCTTCCGATGCAAAATAAATTGCATGCTATTACCGATACGATCCATCAAAGTAATAATCTAAGTATGAGTAATAATAACAATATCTCAGTGGCCAATATTACTGACATAGCGACAAAAACAATAACGACGACAACAACAACAATGACAACAATAACAACAACGACAACAACGACAACAACAACGACAACAATAACAACTAAGAATGCCAATACAGTGAAAAATGTTAGCCAAGTACAAATACCAAAAATTAGTTTCTTAACGATGGATACCGGAAATGCGTTAAGTGCGACGTCATATGAGAAGAAAGCGTTACAAAGCGATCAGCCGGCAGTACTTCACAATAATTCGAATGCGGATGCTACAACGATTAAAAATGAAGGTATGCGTTATAATACTATTTTAGGGCCAGCAAGTAACGTGTACTTAACCACCGGGAATCCAAGTCAAAATACTGACAATCTGGCACGCAACGAAGCGGTTAATGACATTTTTTTGAATCGTAATGTAATGCATTTGTTCGGTTTACAGCAGCCGCCCGTTCTCGTGCAGCATCCCAACGTCTCATTTCATAGTTCCAATTTAAGTAAACGCTTCGAAAATCCCATTTATGCGAATAATAATAGAAATTATACCCTTTATGAGACTGTTGCCAAGAATGCCAAGAATTCTGCTCAAATGGCAGGATACTACGTATATAAACGTCTAAACGATGTAGGAGCGGACGCTCAACGAGTCAATGCGGTCAAAGTGTACGATATGTTCTCAAAAGCGGGCCAACGTCCGCAATTAGCGATGAATGCTTCCAACATCCTAATACGTAACAGTTGCGAACCAACTGTTGTCAATGGTGCAGATGTGCAATTATCAACCCACGCTAGTCAAAATTTTTTTATTGCCAATAAAGACATAGCGAGAAATGAAGGTTATGTGGAAGTGAAAAAAATAAATGATAATAATAACGATCAGAATTTCAATAAAGATGATGAGTTGGGCACTATTTTGGGGTGAGCTGTTAACGCATCTCTTACATAATCGCCTTGATTTTTGATATTTTCATTATCTATATAACGTAGATCAAAAATGAAAACGTCCGCCAAGCGACATAAGAATGCAAAGTCGAATTTATTATTAGAGGATCTATTTGGACACCTTTCGATGGAGTCCGACGGTAGTGATATGAAAAATTCGACATTAAGCGATCTCTCCGATAAAATGGCGGCAGCGACACGTTCCTCCAGTTTGCCGATTAAAAATCATTTACCCAGTAGTTTAGAAGCCAATCAAGGTACTCGAACGAACTCATTATCGACAAACGCGTAAGTTGGAATATCTTTTTTACACTATTTGTTTATATAATACATTACTTAATTATAATTTACTTTTTCATGTATTTTTTGCGATAACAAAAAAATCAAATATTTTCATTTCGAAGTGAATCTTTTTAAATACCCAGAAAAAGATTTGATGAAAGCTTCTCTGCAGTAATATACTTCAACATTTTCTTGGGAATAGAATCTGATCTTCGATATTAGGTGAAAAGAAATGTGAAAATGTTATTCGCTTTGTCGCTGAGTCGAATATTGCTGGAGGACTTAGGAAGAGGAGGAGGCAAGACCTAAAGAGCATTAAGAATTTTCCGTAGATTATGGATTGGAGCGGAAAGTGGCTATCTTTGCTTTGATTTTCTTGACTTGCCTGGTAAATATAAATATAAACTCCTTAGGCCTTGTCAAATATATTTGGCTTGTAACGATCAACTTTGGATTTGTATAACTTTTTGCATTAATTTTTGCGGGTCGTTTGATCACCTGCTTGTGAATTTGAAGATAGCGAAATATACAGGCACGAAGCTCCCTTTAAAGATTGCAAACTTTTTTCCAACTTGCTATCTATATCCGTTACATATATTTTATCCGCGATCATAGAAGCCGGTTATTCTTGGCTATATCCATGATCTATTAGGTTATTGACAACGTCAAAATCATTTACGCTTTCGTTCTGCATCATTCGAAAAACTTTCTCCGAAGATATACTCCCCCGCTGCGTATTCATAAACCGCCCGAAATAAGTCGCACAAAATATATCACTTAAAAAATGCTTGCAGAAAAGTAGGTTTAATCGCACCTCCCCCCTACCTTTGTGAGACGGTATAGTCCCTATTTGTTTTCTTTCAATATAGTTGAGTTGTTTACTGTTGTTAATCCCCTCAGGATATGACTGCTAGCGCTCAGGTAACGCCAAACATTGCCTGCCGTGACAGTGAAGTGAACTCATTCATTGAAATCAATGAATTTCTCTTCTTCACTAACGTTAAAGTTCTAAATCGCTCTAATTCTAAATGCCTCAGGTCATTACTCACGTTAAAATTATAAATCGCTGCAAAAAGATCAGTTCTTCATTTAAGCCGTGTCTCAGGTTTGCACTCACTCCCACGCTGCACGTAGATCAATTCTTTATTTAAGCCGTGTTTCAGGTTTTCACTCACGTTCAAATAGTATATCGCTGCACGTCGGCCAGTTCTTGATTTAAGCCATTTCTCAGGTCTTCACTCACCTTCAAATTGTAAATCGCTGTACGTAGATCAGTTCTTTACTTAAGCCACATCTGAGGTCTTTTGTCTATGCGACCAGTTGAATGGCTAGGTAACTTTGTAGAGTGTTGAATAATTGTTGTTAATTGACATTATTTCCTTAAAGGCGTTTGCTAAAATTAAAAAAAAAATCCTCGTTAATGTACTTTTGCGGAGGATCATTCTAGTCGATCATACACAGCTTACCGCCAGTTGAAATCCGACCATTCGTACAGACATCTATTAGAACTAATAATTCAGAATTTGATATGAGTCAAAAAAAAATTCAACTTGAGAAGGATTGACATCAAAATATCTCTTTCGTTGGGTATTTAAGGAGTTCCGCCAAATATCTTTAAAAAGTAAATGAAAATTTTTTAAATTAATTTTTAATAAATACATATGTTATTACGCTCATTCATCATTGATTTTGTACCGCATGTTTGCTTTATGCTTGGTTCATAGAGATAGATCGGCTAAGAATGACGATAATTATGCAGTTACTGTAAACGCGGATTATCAGTTTTGGCCTATAAGGTAACGAACAGCATTTACGTTTAAAACGAATAAAACGATAAGTGATAAAATGATGTATTGGTTTTATTGATGAGAGTCTAAACGCAAGCTTAGACTTTCTAAGATCCCACTCGAGCCTTGAGCCTCCATTAATTATGAGTTTTAAAAATCACACGATCAACGTATGTTTTCTTTTTATAAAAATCCGAATATGTATTTTATGGCAATGAGTTGTCTTTTTTTTTCATTTCAATCGTCAGATATTCGATAGCGTACGATAAATTAATGGATATACAGATCGACAGATGCATGGCCTTTGGCCAATCGAACAAAAACTACCCGTCATAGACATTGCCACGGAATTCTAAGTTAGGCTAACCAAAATAGGGAAACTATGTTCGCCTCAGTGTCTACTTGGGATAATATAATACATTTTGACCAGTAGAGTATCTGTTTAGTGTACTTAACAGCTTGACTTTAGGAGTGTTACTAAATTGCAGAGGCTGTCTGATCTTATGATCGTTATTGCAAAAGATAGTCTTTTAAGTTGACTTCAACCCAAATAAAGTGCAAGCAGATGGTTATCAGTTTCTTTCTGCAACGAAAGGAACGCTTTCTTTGAAAAGGAACAACACATTTTTCACATCTCTCTGGCAAGCTTGTATTTGTTTCTCAAAGAAGCGTTCTTTTCTTCAAGCAAACAACAACAAATATTTGGCTTGGATAGAAGGGGGCGAATACAGGCTAAAATTTGAACTTGACCTAAACTACTTTTATTGCGTGTTTCGATTGTCGCTTGAAGCAAGACTGCCTTATTTCAGCTCATGAGCCTATTTTGCAGCACTTTATTATACATTAAAGGCAACTGGTTCTAGTAAACACAGAATACCGTTTTTTTTCGTAGTTCTTTGGTTTTGATGTCGATATTTAATGCTTGACCTAAAACCTTCACACTTTGAGTTTTCAAAATAAATTGTAATCTCTTAGAAAGACTAGCAAGGATTTTACTTGTTCAGGCCAAGTTTCCGATTTTTACCGTAACATTCCCGCTTTTAACAGCTTTAAGTTCAATTTTTGAGAAAATAGATGATTAGTGGGCTCTTTGATCTTTGAGGCTAGGCATGATCTGGTAAGGAGTGAATAAATTATGATTTATATATAGACCCTTATAAGGTAGGACATAGAAATAGGGACATACGATAGCACCAATTTACGGTTATGGATGAGGAGTTTAACTCAAATGATTTTCGTTGGCATTTTCTAGAAATAAGTCATCATGATTATCTAGTTTTAGTTCTATCGCTTGACTGAGTAACGGAAAATACTTGAAGGCTGCATTTATAGAATATATATATTATATAGATAGATATACAGTAATCCCCGCCATAACGCAGTACCCTTATAAGGCGTTTTTATATTAAGCGATTTTTTATCCCCCATAAAAAACGGGCATTCCCCCATATAACGGAGGGGGGATTTCCCACCTACATATTTTTGTACTGTGAAATTTATAATGATTTGTACACTTCATAATTAGAGAAAAGTTAAATGTGATGAATCATTTATACGTAGCGTTTTCCTATAACGCGGAACCAATCTACCGCGCGGGAGATTAGTGTATAGAGTATATATTTGTTCTAAAATTTGTTGCAACACTTTCCGTAAGGATATATATTAAGTTTATGCATATACGTCTAATGGCCGGAACGACTGGACGCCCTTCGATAACCTTTGATTATACAATTTCAGTCGATTTAAACATGTTTGCTCGTCGTTTCGCCTAATAATATATTTTCTGGCCTACGGATAAACTCCATTGAAAAGTGGATTGGGTTGAATAATTTTTAACATTATTCCCCTTACATAACGAAGTCGAACGACGTTCTTAGAAAATATATTTTCGTATTTTATACAAGTTGATGAAAAGTTGCGAGGCATCCATAGACGACTACGGTATTAGAAAAAACAAAAAAAAAAAAGAAGCCTTTTAACGGCCACGTAGTGATTTGGCTTTTCATGATGAAAGTCAATGTAAAGGTGTAAATTAAGCGAAAAGGTGCTCGGTGTTTAATGAACCGCTTTGCCAGGCATACAATGTCTTGACTTGTTTTACTCATATGCTTCGCCATACATCCTTTATATTCATTTCGTTCATTTAAAATATTCGCTAATTGATTAAATAATGAACAGTAATATATTTATGTAGATGGCTTGACAAGTCAACGTTTTATTGATTATGTATTGTAGGTGCAAAGTGCCGGAAAACAATAAAATACTATTTCCCTGGGATGAAACCAATAAGACGGAAGATGAAAAACTTAGCGCCTGGATGGTCTCAGACAATGGTAAATGCAACTATAATAACATAATTTAGAAAATAAATCTAAAAGCAACAACAACACTAAAAAATAATTTAACGGTAGTAGTAATGAGAGTTACGTTCAGTTTCATAACATAATTATATACCTATGTATGTATGCATGTATGTGTATTTTTAATAGGATCACTTTTGGAAAACAATGTACTAAATGGATCGTATCATCGCAATCCAATGTGGACGTCATCAACGTACCTGAATAATAATTAGCTGGCTTTGTATTTGAAAGTAAAGTTCTCTCAACATAAATACTAGAATCGATGATCAACATGGACGTTAGCAATGAATTCGAATTGAAAAATTATAATTAATTTGAACAATATAATACCGTTTGTATGTAAATTTTTAGAAATACGTGAATGTTATTAAATGATTGAGCTGTGATAAAATAAAGTAAATTAGGCCTAAGTACGCGAAGTAAAGCTACTGTGTATTCATTAAAGTATGCCCACAAACTCAAAGTCCTTTATAGTTCACCTAATTAATGCGGGCAATATTACTGGCGCTTCGGCGCTTGACCTTCAACGATTCATTCACTTACTAGAGATTGATTCGAATATTTAAGCTATCACTAGAGCAGGCATGGGCAAGCATCGATCCGTGTTGTTGTCGGGTCCAACTCGCCACATTTAAAGTATCAAGTCAATTTGTTCGCGATATAGCGATGCTGCAAATGCCTTTAACATCTTGTATCTGCCTGTAAGCCTTGTATCTGCCTTCACTGCCGGCTTAGCTGTGCAGCTATCAAGTATCAAATGTGTTTTTTTTAGAAAGGAGGAAAATTGATGTTAGATATGCTTGTAGCCCCCTTTCATGATATGAAAACTAAAAATTGTCCCTCCGATGAAAAAATATGTGCATCGCTGCTCTAGACCGACAGGTCGTTCACTTTTCAGTAATCATCGACTTTTATAAGCAATTTTTGGTTTTCCTTGTGCAAATTCTTGTCAGGAGCGGCAGTAAAGCCAGTTAGTTCTAAATATACCGGATGCGAAAAGAAGAAGTCTTCACTGGTGTTTCTAAGAGATGGCTTTACCAGTTCGCAGCATTTTTTAAAGAATATTTTTGAAATTTTTACCTCACTTTACACTGCTAATAACCGGCACGAAGTTATTTATATTTAGGTATATAAATGAGTTTGAGTGAACGTAGCAAATGAAGTTAAAAAAACGAAATTGAAGCGTTACAGTCGACTTTAGTTCCTCTCATGCATTCCTTCAATTAAATTCATTGTAAAATATCAAAACTTTGACGTCATCAGATATATGTTTTGCAAAAAAGTCTCCATGTGGGACTGGATGAAGGAATGGGATAGATTCAGCGAAATGATTCCGAATCGATTAGTAAAACCTGAAGGTGGCTTTATCTCATGTCGTGGACGTATATCCATGCAAGCTTAATGCATGCAACCAAAACTGGTGCAGAGAGTACATATATATTCCGGCCTGCGACAACAAAATTATAAAAAATAAATTATATATGATATGAAAGAAAACTATATCCGAAGATCATTTTTTGCTTTAGGCTTTTAAATGACCCCAGGGAATATTTGTAGTAAACCTTAATGCAACATCCAGATCTAACGGTAGTAGGTAAAAATACATTTGCAATAGGCTTGCATGCAGATCGATGTAGCGGTGTGAGGTGTTTCAACCCCATTATCAATGCAGATCCATTTTTGCTATAAATTTTAAATTGTACCTTTTTACCTATTGTGGGCGGGTGGGTTGTAAGCATGCTGTGACCGTTTTTAAACTTAACTTTTGGTCAATAAGTAAAATTGTATACGCCTTGTTTTACGCCCGCACGTGTTAAGGGAGGAATTGAAAATCTTTCACTGATCAATAATGTACATAATTTTTTGGCGTATTACAACTGTCATGGACTGTCGTGTTACATATAAAAATGATTTGCTTTAGATTATGAACACCTCTCGAAAACTGTAAGGCGAATAAGCTTCTATTCATTAGTCTAAATGCTTTCTCTTTGTATTTAACAAAAATAGATTGTTTGTAGATATTGCTCTCAGAGAGCAATTCTGCTCCTAAAAAGAGCTTCGTTCCATGAACTGGTATGCCCCCAGTTCAATTTTTCGCCGGAAGGTCTTCTCGCCTACTATTTGGACGGCAAAAAAGCCTGCTTGACTTCAATTAAATCCTTGATCGTACATGACGGTTTAAGCAAAAGATATCGATTACTCGCTTTTACGATGAGCTAATTTTTTTTAAATTTTTTTTTTTTTTTTTTTTTTAATTTTTTAAGTTTGCAGAGGAAACACTTCTCGTCAACCTATATATATTTAATTTGCTACAGGAAGTTTGCAAAATTTCTCAGGGCGTCTCGTATTACTTATACGTCATATCTAACGCGAATAATTAAAGAGCGACAAAGAAATATGCTTCAGTCGTCTCTAGGCAATGCATGTTCGCCCTAAGGGAAACTTACCTGTTTAACTCGTCTATGGTTTGATTTGCGCAAAAACAAAAAGTCTTCACATGTTCAGCCAATCATATTTTTTTTTTTTGTTGTTTTTTCTCTTTATTGAAAAACTTTTAAAAAAACAGCGCCGTTCGTTACTAATGCAGTATTAAATTAATTCTTGCATCTCGAATAATAAATTGTGACATCAATTGTGCGACCGACCCAGTACAGCATTAGTTTGATGTGCGTAGTCTAGTGACTGACTGGCTGACTTTGTAATTAGAAACTTTAACTTTTTAAAAAATAAGATTGGATTTCATTTCCTCTTTGAAGTGCGTTCAAATTAAATGTCGCTGCAAATATTGCATAATTGAGCTGTAATTCAAACAACATTATGTGAGTTGGAGTCTCTTTGCCAAACAATTGCAAACAATAAGTAGTTTATGATTTGGTCTCGTCTCCGTATAAAAGTCACTAAAACATAACAAGGGGATGGCATTCGTTTCAATCATTTTACCCGAAAAGCATCTCTTAAGTTCTTTTACGCGTGTGTTGGTGTATGTGTGCTTATTTGTTTTGTCTTGTCTTAAAAACTAATTAATTTAATAAAATCATTAATAATGAAATTTCTTGTAGGTTTTTTCCAAACAATTATTATTAAATTGAAATGAACTTATTTTCCTTCTCTTCTTTTTTTTTATTATTATTATTATTATTATTATTATTATTATTATCATTATTATAGTGCATCGTTACTGTGTGTGTATTAAGCGTATGCGCCACTTTAATTAGTGCCAGTGTGATTGAACATCCGACAATTGAATTGATAGAGGATAATACGCCGCACTATGAATTTCAATATTCAGTGCACGATGTGCATACCGGTGATGTGAAAGATCAGTTCGAGCATAGACGTGGCGACTATGTGACTGGACGTTATTCCCTAATCGAACCCGACGGTAATCGTCGTGTTGTCGAATACAGTTCAGATCCTTTATTGGGCTTCTCAGCACAGGTTCGACGTGAGTTATTGGGTTCACCGCATCCAGTGGCGCAAACTGTTGAGGAATGGCCAGCACCAGCTAATCATTAAATTAATTGTCATCTGAAGCCTTAACTGCATTATAAAAGAAAAAAAGTCTGCTGAAATATAAAAACATTCTTGGAATTTTTTCAAATTAGTTTTCTTCCAACACACCCAATAGTCAGCTCTTGATAGCGGCTCGATTTATTTAAAAAAATGCCTAAGAGCGCTTTTGTGCATTTATCCTCGAGAGGACTTCTTACTTAAACGACTAGCACTTTTTCCTAGCACTTTTACTTTCTGCGTCTAAACAAGTCAAACCTAAATTATTGTATCCTACGGCATTAGGGTATATTAAATTTGTACACATATATGCAACACCCAGAAGGATTTGTGATGGGATGAGATTTCTTATAACGATCGATGCTGAACCACTTTCCGATCTAATTAAAGCGTACGTGTCCGTCGACCTGTCTTGTTTTCTTCTGTTCAACCTTTGAGTCCCAACTTTTCAGATATATTGGTAGAGGGACTTGTTTTGGCCTTAAGACGAACCTCGTAGAAAATGATTCAGATCTGATCACTTTTTCGATCACTTCCTATACAAAGCCATCGTCAGAAACGTCGTACAGGTTGATGTAATGTATTTAATATTGAGCACAATAGTTTAACATGCCTTCATTATGTAAATTATTTCACCTTTGGTTAGTATATCATTGCAACCTCATCGGGTTAGGAAATTTTCATTTCCAATTAATTTAGTAAATAAATGAAACATTGATCTGAATCTGTCAGATTGACTCAGACTTCTATGCGGATCAAGAACTTACAAAACCGCTTTGTCACCACTGTATGTTAGTAGATATTACAAAGAGAATCAGGAATATTCTAACAGGATCTCGCAGCACCATGCTCTTCCAAGTTAAGCAGGAAAAGCTGCGTTTTCCGCTTTTGCGTTTTTGTTTCTTTATGTTTTTTTGAAAATTTCGTTATTTGCATCTCTTCGGGACAATTTATATAATAACACAAAGTTTAAAATTCGCACTGGAATCGTTAACAAGCGAAACAACGGCACCTCTTAAGAAAACCGGTAGCTACTTATTTATAAGTCTGGCATACGTTATAGTCTTAATAATCTAGATGTGAAAAGAATGTCTAGTCCAGAAAAAATCTTACCTTGAAATCGAGTGAACAAGCTTTTTGAAAATGTCGCAGACTAATTGAAGAAAAGGATCCATTGACTATTGAAAATTATATATAAAAGAAATGATCTTGTTTGAGGAGTATTCCATATATTGAAAGCCCGAGCCAATGATGAAGGGCGCTGGAAACGAAAGTAACAATTGTGAGACTCTGCAACCAATTGCGAAACGATTCCCAGATTAATATAGCGGCAGGCAGGAAACAGCTGGTTCGAAGGAAACAATTTCCACTTTCACGAAGTTTTTTTTTTAGTTTACCTTTCTTCTTGTCAAGGGTCGATTATGAACGATTATGAAGGGGTAACATGCCCAAGTAAATAATAAATATCAAATTGCAAACAATTACGCATAGTCATGATCTAATGGTGTACACATAAATTCCGTCCGTTTTTTTTCAATAAAATTTTGCATTGTTATAGAGCTGCCCTGCTAAATATGACTGCGAGGCGAAATCTAGAAAATACAGCGATTGCTGTAAATCTTTCCAGCCTAAGTTGATAAATATTTTCTGGGTGGTTTTAGGGGAGATGGACGAACATATGCGTCGTTCATTGGAAAATTTTTCGCCCAAAACATCGCAAACCGCTTCCTAATTCTTACATAGCTCTCTGCACTTTCATTCCAAGCCAATCTAATCATTTCCGTAGTTGCTCTTCTTCAAGGTTAATCCAATTAAAAGCCCCCCAAAGCCCCCCAAAAAAAACGATATAAACGATATTCATGTCTTTACTTTTTGACATACACTGAACGACAGCTTGCAAACGACTGAAACTTCCACAGTTCAAAGATCAATATCCAAGTTATCTATTACTGCAATTTCGGGAAAATTGAATGCGTCAGATAAGTTTTACTATGCAAGCAATTTCAGTGGAAGGAATGTATTTGTAGTGAATTCTTCAAACTATCCGAATTATATATGACGAGACTCGTCGTTCCATTTTAATGCTTCCTAATCTGAGCGCTGTGAAAAACGTACGAGAGACAAATGGCCGCACGAATATGATTCAATCTTTCGAGACAAAGATCGCGAAAATATTTAAAAAATCCAAAGCCGATTACAAAATAGTGCCAAGACTGTTACATAAGATAAAAATGAATTGAAATTTTTTAAGTAATGCCAGCGGATCTGATGAGATTACCTCGATTTGTGAAGGGAATGGAACACCTGCTTAAATGCCTCAAGAAAGCAGAGAGACTTCAAACAGACTGGCATGCCACTTTATCCAATCCGAGCGTACCGCAACACTATCGAGTACTACATAAGCCTTAAGACTGTTTTTGGGAAATCTTTGGAATAATTAACTAATCTTTCATGAATGCTTCCATGCGCTTTGAAAACTTTTTTGAGTGGAATATGTTTAAAAGTGTAAATGGGCTTGCAAAGTAAAGAGAGAAGATTCTTCTTCCTTTTTTTTTTTTTAAATTTAATTTGAAATTTAAAAAAAATTATGTAACGACTTGTTTTTTTATTAAAAATTTTTACATTAAAAAAATATCTTATGTGTTTTCAATAATTTAACTTAAAAAAGAAAAATCAGAGATGCCATCAACTGTAAATATTCTTGATCAGCATTAAATTCTAAACCGATTTAAGCGTGTCCGTTTGTCTGTCTGTCTGTATTTACCATTCCCCTGATTGCATAAATACGGCAATCGATTTCAAATTTGGCACAAAGATTGAAAGTTATTGCGCGCAGATTGGTATTGAAATTGAGCTAAATCGGTCAAAGAACATGACCACAGTACTACGTAAACTCTTTTCAAAACAAAAGAAAAATCTTTTTTTTTTTGCTCGTTACTTCAATAACTTCACAATACAAGGATAGAAAGTTTGCATTTATATTCTAAGATTTTGCAGCATCCGCATAAAAACGGGAAAAGTCAATGTTTTTGTGAAAACATTTGTGGAGCTCAGAAAAAAAGATTGAGAGCCCATGCAAAGTCTGCATATTATTGATCAGCGTTAAAGAATGTTGGGTTTAAAAGGCCCGGTCGCGGCTGAATATAATTTTCTTACTTGTTTTCATTGAATCTTTATATCTAATTAAAAAATTTTCCCAACTTTTTTTTTTTAATTTTTAGTAGTCGTTTAATTTAAATTTTATATTAAAATTCAAATTTTTTTTATATAAATGTTTTTTCTCTTAAAATTTCTTACTTATTATTTGTTTAATAATAATTTTATAGAAAAATTTCTTAAAATGATTTATTAAAAAAAAAAAAAAATCTTAATATATTTTTAAATTCTTCTTTTAAATTTTGTTTTTTTTTTTAAGTTTTATTCTAAGTTAACTAGAAATTTCTTAATTTTTTTGTTTTAATTCGAAAGGACTTTTTTTTGCTATTTTTAATCCATTTGACATGAATAGTGCTCTGAAGGTATGTTTTCTGATGGCATTTTTAATTGAAGGTAATCGAAAGCCTCCGTATATGATGGTGAATGTCTGTAAGTTTGCGGTATACGCGGATCGTACTGATACATATGGTTATAGCCCAAGCTATTTCCAATTCTGTTATCCGTGTGCGCGTTATGTGTCGAAGGGTATAAGACTTCGGCATTTATCGTAGATTCGTAGGGTGAAATTGGAAGAGAAATTTCATATTCGTAAGTAAAATCAGTTTTGTGATTATTATAAGAATTTGGATTATATTCTGGATTATATTCTGGATTATATTCTGGATTATTATTAAACCAATCGTAAGATGAACGAACATTTGTCGTATCTTCGTAAAGTTTCTTTGCAGTTTGTCGATTAAATTGTAAAGCCTGTAATTGCTCTCTAGACATTGGAATAGGTATGTTCGCGTATTTTACAGTGACACCGGTTGCTTGTTTTAATGACTCCTCCTTTTTAAGATGACATTCGCAGCAACACTTTTCATAGTTAATGTCTGATGCCTTTGTAGGTGCTTTAAGATCGGACGACATTGCCACTTCAATACTGGAATCATTCGATTGGCGATCACCTACCGTAGTTGCTGTCGTTCCTGTCGCCGTTACACTGTTCAATTGCATGCTTGTTTTTTCTGTCTCTGGTGCAATGGTTGTTTCTATACGGCTTGTGGTTATATCGGAACAAGGCACTTCCTCCCATACTTCTTCGTCGCATTCATAACAAGAACGACTATCACCAATTGTTAGCGATAATATTGAAGAAAACACCATCAGCTGTATCGTGTGCTGCAAATTAATACATTTTTCAAATTATTTTATTTAATCATATAATAATAATTCGATAAATAGTAAACGCGATTTACCTTTGAAAGCATTTTTTCCTTTTTTTTTTTTTTTTTTTTTTGCTTACAATACGTTTTTTCTTATTCTTCTTGTAAATTAAATAATACGCGTGTCTGGCTAAACTGATGTCGATAGCAATTCTGAGTTCATTTTTGAAAATATGCAGAGTTTTTATATGTAGTATGCAGTAATGCAATCTATTAAGATTTCTTAGATTACTTGCTTGAAAAAGAGATTTAGAAAAACTGCGGAAATATAACGAAGCAGCACGTTCACCATTTTAACACTTTGACATAATTATATGCACATGTCGAGGCTACAACCAGAGACGGAGAATCACAAATTTCCTCTTAAGTCATTTCGCATTAGGTGTTTTTTTTTTTTTATACCCTGCACAACAACATACAATGTTACAAGGCTATACTACGTTTGTGAGGATGTCTTCAACATCGAGAACGACCTGAGATAGACCCACATTTGATTACACCGATCGATTTAAAGCAACTTTTTGAGTCAATTTTAGCTCGACTGTCCGTCTCTCCGTCTATTTGCCTCATTTTCTTGTGTTCAACGGAAAGGTGGCAAGATTCGAAATGTTGTGATGGACGTCATTGAAAATGATTCGAATCGGATCACTTCCAAAGTAAGGCCATGTCTCGTATAGCCCACAACAGTGTTTTCATTTGCTTTATGTCAAATATCGCAATGGCTATAGAAGAGCAATAAACAAGAGCACATTTTTGCACCTGAAGAGAAATCATTTGCTTATGAGAGGGGGTTCAAAAAATTGCCACAGCTGGTCTAAAGCTTTCATAGCAATTTAGAATGCCGAAATACTATTACTTAGCCACTTTTGTCGAGAAATTTAGAAAATTGTAGTTTTCTCCTTATAACTGCTAAGGAATATGCTTCCTAATAATGCGTGAAAGGGGAAATGGTCGGAAACGGTGGACCGATCCAAATTATTTTCAACAGCACTCGTTCTTTGTACACGTCAGCGTCGCGAATTGCATTAAAATATCACAAATTTACATGGACAGAACTATCCGCCTGAGTGACCAAGTAGGCAAGAGTCTCGACTAGCAACTCAATGGTCGTGGGTTCAAATCTCAAGTGTGCGATAGAGTTTTTAATAAGGCCGAAAGCCTTAGATGCTAGTGCTTTAAGACATTGGTCTTAGAACTTATTCTCTGGCTAAACTTATAATAATAATAATAATAATAAAAATACATGGACAGACATCAGAGCGATACACTGACAAGCGGACAGACGGACTGGCATGCTTAGATCGATTTGGAACAAAATTCTGAATCGATCGGTATAATGAAAGGCGGATCTATCTTAAGTCCTTCTGGGTGCTGCATACACAAGTGGTGTAGGGCATGAAAATGTTGAATGAATGAAGAAGAAGCACTAATAACAATAAAAAAAGAAAACGGTAAGCAAATTATCATAGGCCAATCTGCCAGCGATATCTGCCAGAACAAAAGTTTTTGTATTAGTATGAAATTAAAAATTACGAGTTACACGTTTCCTTACTTTGTCCAATGAATCGATATTATATAGTAAATATTTACAATAGTCAGCATAATTAAAGTTTTGCTGTAATTGGCAAAAAGTTGTATAAATTTTATTCTTCACAGTTCACTTCATTCATTCATTGGTTATTTTTGCGGTGTGCGATGAAATCAAAAGTGAAAACTCGAGCAGAATCGCAAGTCAGCGCGATACGCCAAACACTGTTGGTTAGATGCACTTACTTTGGCCTGTGCGTCCAGAGAGAACAGGTATCGGACTTGTCTTTTTCGAAATCGAAACATTTTATTAGAGAACGCGTTTATGTTAGGTCAATAATGCTGCAAATCTAGGGAACATGCCAGACTCACACTTATCTGTTAATAATAACATATAAAGAAATATATATTTTTTTTTTTATGAAAGCAACTGAAAGCACACTTTAGTAGGGCACGGCGCTCTATTAAATGCTCTAGATCACCCTATACTTATTCATATTAATAACACGTTATATGGGAAGTGATGGAGAAAGCGGTCCAAACAAAACAATTTTTAATACTGTTCGTAATTAGGCCAAGGCATCTCAGTGAGATAAATTTTATTAAAATGTTTGTAGGTTAAACACAAAAAAAGAAGACGGACAGACACGCCTATATTAAATTAGAAAGTGATTCCGAATCGGTCTGTATAAGAAAACGCTAAGTTTATCTTAAGTCTTAAGTGGAAAGTATAAAAAGCGTTTATGTCAAAAGGCTGGTAAGAGAATTGTATTCAAGACACAGTTGCTCGCTAAGTACGTTTGCTTTTGCAGTTCACATAAGCTTCTGCTGCTTCTTTTTCAGATAGAACTTAAGTGTGCTACAAATACTACAAAGATTTATGGCATTATCTTTATGTTTCTCTAAAAACAGTTTTCGCATAACATATAACGAACGTAAAGAACGATAACCAAAAATTTTATTTCATGAGTTCTGAGCAAAAATTTTCCAAAACTTTTATTAGTTTTTCTCTTTTTTTATAAATATTCAAATAAATCTAATGCAAATAAATGACGAAGGAATGGATGAAAAAGGGGGTCCGGCGCAGCTGCTATGTAAGCAAGCTTAGATTTATTATATGAGACCCATGAGACTATATTGATGAAATGGAAGACACTTGATGAATGCGGATTTGTTCACATCTTAATATTTATAGCTGACAGAGGGCGCCGAAAACTCAACATAATTACCATAGTCATGACCAGGAGCCGGAGCAGATTCTTGCGGTAACGATGAAATATGATTAGAAACTGGAACTGATGCTGCAACTGGAACTGGAACTGGAATTGAAACTGGAACTGGAACTGGAACTGGAAGTGGGGCGTGAGCTGGAGCTTGAAGGGATTTGTCAACACTTAAATATGTTCCACGATGACCGAAATGGACTAAAGGATATGGCTGCAAAAATTTTGGACTAGCGAAATAGTTCACTTTTGGTTGGACTAATAATTTATGTTCGGGTTGCGGTGCCGGCAAAGGGATTTTAATATCGGTGGGTTCACGTGAAACAATTGCCTCGAATCCGTTATGATCATCAGCCTTATAAGTCACCAAGCGTCGATATCCATCAGAGTCAATTAATTCGTAGCTGCCTTCAACTTTATCATCTTTGCGTGACTCTTTTTGACTTTTAATATCTCCGGTGTGAGGATCACGGACAGAGTATTCAAAATCGTAAACCACCGGGCCGTAATCATGCTCCTCTTTCAGCTCCGTGCATAAAATCGATTCGGTAACGATAACGATAAAACATATGACGATATTTAAAATCTTTCAATATAAAATAAAAAAAAAAAAAAAATGCAGAGATAAATAAATAAATAAAATATATTTTTTTATTTTTTTACAATTTTTTTTTTTTTTTTTTTTTTTGCGTTGTTATCACTTATAAATAATATTGCATACCTTTGAAGACATTTTAAATTTTACTTATTTATTTTTATTATATTGCGTAAATGGAATTTCGATCGTTAAGAGCCAGATAAATGTTTACAGAATTAATGTTAAAATTACTTTAATTAAAAAAACGAATCCCCCACTAGTTTATATACACCTGAGTTAAGCAATATTTAAATAACTTCATACAACATATGAAACGCATGAAAGAAGTCGATGCGGTTAGAGTACAATTAGTAGAGTGACAACTATTAACGTTACATGCTTAGCTCTCATTCACTGCTGCTGCGCTTGTGTGAGAGCAATTAAAAAGGTAATGGATACATTTCCAGATTTATTGCCGAAATTACTTGCAATAACTTGAAATTAATCCCATTATAGGGATGAAAAGGCTTTCCGCTCGAATCAAGTTTAACGGTTCTTCGGTGGCTTTATTCATTTTCATCGATAAATTCTTAAAATTTGTCCACATTTCTCTTTTCAGAACTGAGTTCAAAATGGGTTAATATGAACATTTTTTTTTTTTTTTTTTTTTTTTTTTTTGTTCAGAAGATGACCTTTATATAATCTGTAATAATGAATATCGAAAAGAGGATGGAAGAGGAAAAAGAAACAAGCAAGGTCTAGGTAGAATTTTTTATATGTATTCTATGGGGAAATGTTCTTTCTCCTCCTCAATTAATTCTAATTAATTTCCTGCATATGATATCCTTATGTAAGCAAACCGATTGAGGTTCTGCTTCGAATAAATTTTTTAGCTCTAGAATAATTTTACACGGTTTTCAATATTGATAAAAGCCACCCTCTTCTCTTGGGAAAATTGGTGACTTTTTATACATTACGTAGTCAAGACTCAAGTTCAAGCTCCTGGGGATAATTACTCCAAGTTATGTGCTGCTGATGAAATTGTATTCATATTTTCGGCCTTTCTATATGTGTTTGTATCAAATATCTGAACTCTTTTTGCGGGTCTCAACCAAATGTACAACGAACAACTTTTTAATCCTTTATCTTAGCTTTTGTGACTTTGAGGCGGGTAAGTGGATATACTCGAGCAACGGATGACAATCAAGAAGCGACAACCATCAGGATCGAAGTAACTTTACTACATGAGCCAAAGGTATGATCTTAGTGAATATATGTGATTGCCACTATTGGATTAACTCGTATTTCGGTGTTTCCGTTAATAAATAGAATCTTCTCTAGTCGAACTTTCTTCACATCAGCAAATCTTTTATCTCTTCTTTATCATTTTGAAATTTTACTTAAGAGAAGCGTTATATGATATACAAAATTTCGAAGAAATCGTGAAGGATATCATATGAAAGGAAAGGAACAAGACATTGTCCTAGTTTTGTGATACCCCGAAAGCATTGGTATTTTCAAATTTATCATTGTAACAAGATCAGAGTAACATATCACGCAAACGGCGAAATAATCGTTTTGTTAAAAAGCAAGTTCGATATCCGTGAAAACGATCTCGCTCTAACTCAAGGTCAACAAATCTGTTCACTGCTTTGTGCGAATTAGAAAGCCTGCAGATCAACCTCTAAAATTATCCGTGAGGAAGCAGCGACAAAATGTTGCAAAACAGCGTCCAATTTATTTACAGCTGGATAGACTACCCGAGCGTCATATTGCAATAATATTGTCCAATAATATAAGTAATGGATGATACTTTAAAAAGAATAGAAATCATTCCAATTTCCTTTCGACAAAGAAAAGAGAAGGCGGATCATAAAGAAACTATACACCGGTGAACTATTCATCGATCGGCAAAAGTATAAAGAAAAAGTCAAAGTTTGCTGTTCCTCAGATGCGTCACCATAAGTAAATTTTAGGAGAGTCAATAATGGAACATAATACGTAGACTTTGAATTTTCGCTTTTTACGGGTTGGCAGTGAATCCGTTGAGCGATTTTCTAAAATGCGGCAAATTTATTGTTCCACATGTCGTATAACGCGATAAAGTAAACGGACTTGAATGTCGGCGCCATTATCAACGTTATTGTACGTCACTTGCTGTATGCTGTACACGCATTTGAATATCTTCGTATCTTTTAGTTAATACGATGGAAGCTTTAAGTCAATCCAAGATCGATTGAACCGGTTGAATGGAGAACTCTAATGTTTTTTTTTTTGCCTTTTTACTTCAATAAATGTCACGCGCATTGCACTCCATCAGTTATCAGTATAATTTACATACATACATACGCGCATAGATAATGAAATACATTTGACTGATACTATATGCAATGATTCTGTTGCAACATTACTCCAATTTAAAGCACATTTTAATAAGTCTTGTTTACATATGTTACACGAGTACGTAGATATACACTTCTGAACCTAATGCAAGTAATCATAACTACTTTTGTGTACACCGCCATTGCATATGTATTCACTGCACGCAATAATATGTTTAGCAGAAAAAAAAAAAAATTATTAATAATAAGAAATAAAAAACAACATATTTACGTATGTGTCGTGACGAACTTGGGGGGTACCCCTTATTGCCTAAAATAGATTTATATTATGGTAATCACATAGGCTTTTGAATATTCCAGAAGGCCGATTTGACTTGTAGCCGATCACTGCTAAAAACCTTAGTGGGGCTGCCTATATACGTTAGAAAACTATCTCTAAGATTGATAAAGTCAGCAACAAAACCTGCCTCTAACGAGAAAGTCACTCTTCTCTTGATGTAATGATTGTGTGGCCTTTAAGAGGGAGGAGCGTACCGTTGATCCCACAGACGGGATCACATGGATAAATCGACTTAGAATCTTATTAGACAAAAGTATATTTATATCAAGGGGCGAAGGGGTGATGCTATCGAATTCAATATTCGCTTGAAATGCTATATTAATTCTTCTCGTTGGTGGTTTCCTTATTTGAAAGGGAATCGTACGGGCACTGATGATGTCGAAACTAGTAGATGTCCAAATGAAGTGGTTAAATAACGAAAATTACTCTTGATAATTGCAAAGTGCAAGTTGGAAGAGACAAAAATGTGGGCGTGGAAAATCCTTGCTCCAAAGGATTATCGCGTTTAATTATAGTGAAAAAAAAAAACCCCCGCCACTTTGCTGACTGAGGACGCTGGCAAAATTGTATGAACTGAAATTCGAATTATCGCCCCAAGCCGTATTTTCTAGATCTAACTTTCAGCGACTATGATCTCTGTGCAAATCTCAAATGATGAAGTCATTCCGAGAGAAGGAGGAGACTATGTTGTATGTATGATTAAACTCGAACTTTACAAAATCAAAATGTGTTTTCTCTATTTAGACCCAGGAATTATTGATCGATGTATTTACTAGCGTGAGAGTGTATGGGAAGAAAGAAAGATAAAAGAAGAGGGAGATATGGATGGACAGAGAGATGGACAGACAGAGAGAGATGAAAGGAGAGAGAAAGAGAGATGCAGAGAAGGGTAAATTTCAAATTCAACTTTTATCTATGCCGAATTTCGGGTTAATACCAAGAGGACTTCCTAGTCATTGATAGTAATTCTACTTTATATTTTTGGAAAATTTCAAGCATTCCATATACGAGTAGTATATCAAAGCCGAAATAGTCGCATTCTGTCAGCAAGACGTCTCTTGATTAATTATCTCTTACCACTTTACTAAGCAGACTTTCAATGCATCATATACTTGGGAAAATCATTAATGAGCACATCATCCAGGTAGTTATGCTCTATGCTTACCAAGATTTCTCCTCTTATTATCAGGCGCTGACAATAACTTCCGATATACAATTTTTAAAAGTTTTTTTTCGACTTTCAAAGTTTATCCGTGAAGTTAATGTATTGGGGTTTAAATAAGAAATTTTGACTTTCGATCTTTTAGAAAACGTTTATATATACATTTTTTCTATCTCAAAATTCATTTCAGTAACGATTACTCGTCTTTTTGTTGACTTAATTTATGGCTACGCTAAGAATTCTTATTTAGTCTTTCGGGGCTTTTGTCAAAACTTTCACATCTTTTCGGTTCCTCTGCTAGTCGAACTCCAACGATGCGTTTAGCTTAGCTAAGTCATTGAAGACATCTTCATCATCACATATTAAATTTTTTAATAAAGTTCAATAATGCTATCTTGCGCAGCTGAAATTATGGTTTATTTCGAATTCATTTCATCATGAAAGTCAAATCAATGCATTGGAATAAAAGTCTTGCATATGGTTGGCACATGGATTACATGCCACAAAAACTTCTTGCTAAACATTATATAGTTTTATGTATTATTATTATTATGTGCTCATCTCTTAGGGATTTAATGGGAACGAAAGCAGCAATAATGCGTTCATTGAAATTTAACAATCAATGCATTATTTTTTTGTTTTTATTGTAATCTTGTTGTGGTTACTCTTGTTATTTGTCGCTTAATGCATTTATCGCAAAAAAAAAATGCCTTTATATGTGGGTATCTTTTACAGTTCTTTTACAAGACTTGCATGGTATCATGTTCGTGTTGCAAGATCATGTCCCACATTATACGCTTATATATAATTCAAATCACTTAGTTCAATGCGTATGAAAATCATGCATTAATGCAATATATATATAAGATATACATATATACATACATGTTGAGATATATATCATGCGTATGCAAATATTTTTGTCCAATTTACTTTTCTAATTAATTTGTTAAAAAAAATATTTTGTCTTTTTCTTCATTTTTTTATTTATTAAATAAGTGGTTTGTCTTGTGCCGAAATTACTTAACACGCCTTCATGACTAGTTGCATTCTAGAAATATATACAATTAAAAGAAAACACAAGGTAAAGAACGATTTATTTGGACTTCAACGGATTATATTAACAAATAAAGTAAAGTAAGTTAAACCAGATTCCCCCCTTTCCTCGTACCCCTTCTGATAATAAGCCTACTACTGTATTGGGTTTAATCATCAAAGTTGTTCTTCGTCCCGTGGAATGTACCAAAATATCTCCACTTTATTTCAATGACGGCGTATTTACGCCTTACTCTAATCTTACTCTAAAACTCAATTTCAATACAAGACTGAATTTGTTCATTATTCCAGAGATCATATCGCATATTGTCGGACTATTGTAGGCATCGGAACCAATTTACAAATCGTGCATATATCAAATGTAAAGCATTTTACAGGCTTTAGAGAAATTTAAGAGGTTATGTCCCGATCACTTTAAAGTAAATATCAGAATTTATTACTGTTTTTATTATTTTTATATTAATTTAGTCAGATTAGTAAAAATTCAAATAGAAACA